GGTGGATTGGCAGGGCAGAAGCATGTTTGAGGAGAGAAGTCCTAATGCACAATATACTTGATCTGATAATAAAACCTTAACCATTGGCGTAAGACCAGAGGAATCAGGATTCTGAGTTGAAGGTGATGGAATATATTCCTTGAATTCATTCCTGATGCAGCCTATCCAGACCCATATTTAGGTCCCACTTTTAAAAAGGACTATGTAAGTAAAATCCAGAGAACCATTTCACTAATAGTGTAGCATATTTGAGCTATAATAAAAGGGAAAAGAAGGTCATTTCCCTCCATTCACCATCAGGCATCTTTAACACCACCAGGACAGACTAGCATCTGGTAAAGCAGCATGGAGTAGAAGCAGCACCTGGTAGAATATCATAGGATTGGATTTGTTTCTGAACAGGTGTGGCACTCCTCATGGGGGCTCTCAGAAATAATTAAATAGGGTATGCACTTTGCAGGAGGCTGGAGTTTCTGCATAAGCAGTCAAGAGCCAGAGCCAGGGCAATTTGAATTACGTGGAAACCCTTGATTTTAACTTAGAAATTTATCACCATATCTTGAGAACAGAACTAAGCAAAGAGGAGTAAAGGTATATATGCCCCATACCTGTGTGATCTTCTGCTCAGAGCCAATCTTAATTCAGCTAACAATAAAGAACCATCAAATTATTTTTAGTAGAACCATCAACAAAATAAAAGCAAGATATTTGAATTATAGCTCTTATAGGTTTATGCAGGATAAGCTGAGGAAGAGAAAACCACAGGCTGGGGAATAATTAGAATGCTGCTATACTCTAGTAGTAATGGATAAGAACTCTGCTAGGGGGTGGCTACAGATGAATGAAGGAGGAAAGGAGTGTATAATATCAGCATGACTTGATAGATGAGACGGTAGCCACTAAATAAACTAGGGTAAAAGTCAAAGATAGCACCAACTTTTCTGTCATGGTAGATAGAAAAGCTATGATCTAACTAAGAAAAACAGAGAATTTTAAAAGAATAATTATTTTGGGCCAGCCCCAGTAGCCTAGTGGTTAAGTTTGGTGTGCTCCACTTCAGCGGCCCAGGTTCGGTTCCCAGGTGTGGACCTCCACCACTTGGCTGTCAGTGGCCATGCCGTGGTGGTGGCTCGCATACAAAAAGAGGAAGACTGACAACAGATGTTAGCTCAGGGCGAATCTTGCTCAGCAAAATAAATGGATAAACATATAAAAGAATAACCATTTTGAGACTTAGAGATATATTTTTTGCATTGTTAGCCTGAGCTAACAATCAGCCTGTGATTTTAATTAGGAGAGTGTAGCTTAATTCTTCCTTAATTATCTCACATTAAAAGATTTTTCCTCATCTGAATTTTTATCACGGTTATCTTTTGCACCACTCATTTAGTATTAGTTAACTGACTTATATTCTCAATGATCATTTCATGTGAATACGTGTTATTTCCCAAAACAGATTTTGCCCTCCCAAAGAGTAAAAACGTTTTATGCTTGTATCCCCCATCTCCCACTCTCTGATTAACTCCATGCTGACTAAGTATACTTTTTTATAGCACATGGTTCAGATAGTCTTTGAAAATATAAAGGATACATTAAAAATTATGATCAATATTCTAAGAGATGAAAGTTCAGGATATCATTAAACAATAAAAAGAAACTAGAAAGAACTCTTGGAAATTAAATATAAGATAGCATCAATAAACAATGCATTAAAAAGAATTGAAAGATAAAGTTGAGGAAATCTCTTAGAAAGTAGAACAAGAAGATAAATAAAATTAGAGAAGAGATAAGAATTATAAAAGAAATGAAAAAAGAAAATTTCCCAGAACCAAAGAACATAAGTTTTTACGTTGAATGTAATCATGAAGTACCCAGCCCAATAAATAAAGCAAGACCTACCCAAAGGTGTATCAAATATTGAAATGTCAGAACACCAAGAAGAAAAAGATAAAATAAACTTCAGAGAGAAGAAACAGGTTATACACGAAGGTTCTGGAGTCTGATACTATCAGACTACAATTACCTGGAAGCTAGAACACAATTGATCCATGACTTCAAAATGAGGAAAAAGTATTTCCAACAGTGAATTTTATATCCAGCCAAACTATAAAATGTAAAGACAGAATAAAAGTCTATCTTTGTTTTCAGAGATTCACGATCTACAAAAATGTGCTTCCTATGGACTCTTTCTTAGGAAGTTAACTAAGACTATGTTCCACCAAATCAAAAAAAGAGGAAGACAGGAGATCCAAGAAAGAAAGGAATCAACACGGAAGAGAAGAGGAAGGAATTCCTAAGACAACAGTGAAAAAGAAATCCTAGGAAACAAGCTGTGCAGCAGGCCTATGAAACAAGTCCAGATCAGAGCAAGAGAAGTGAGCGTTCCCTGAAGGATGTAGCCAAGATTAAAATGGGTTTGAGAGGTAACTTGATATGGTTGACTATACCAGTAAGTTTGTGGCTGAGTTACTGTTAAGTGAAGAGTTAAGCAAACAAATAAAATGATGAAGTAACTGTTAATTCCAGGAAAAACAAAAACTTTAACAGGAAAAGAAATATAATCAGAGTCATAGTAAAATACCTGACTTAGTGGTGAATAATATTTACATAACTTTAAGGCTTTAAACTACGAGTACTTCATTTAATTAAAAATTTTGAAATAATTGGAAAGTTGGAGCAAGAGGAAGAAGAATCGTGTGAGAGAAAAGAGAGAAAATCCTCATCTTTCCTGGGAATAAAACAATAAACAATGTCTACAATTTTTAAGTGAAGAAAGCAGAGTGTAATCATGCTACTCAGAAATATGGGAATAAGAGCTAAAGAATATCTAGGAGTTGAATGGGACAGCTTCCAAAGACCAAGATTCAAAAGTGTGGAGGGATAGAGCAGGGAACTTCTTTGTTTTTATATAAACTATGACTTTTAAGACTATTCTATTTGTAACTCTGAAAAATAATTTTAAAAATTTGGATAGTAACCATTTTATTTTAAGATGATATATCTCATCTCACATTTAGCTAAAAATACATAAGAGCAAAACAAGAATGAGACATTTTTTAGTTTACTACCTTCTGGCATTTCTCCCTAGATGCCACTCCCCACCTCCCTTGGAAAAATAACTATGTAAATTTTCACAAACTTAAATAAATACATAAATTTTCATGGCTGTTCATCTTGGCTTATATAACTGCTGACAACATATAAAAAATTTGATCTGTTTCTTTCTCATAAATAATTAAATTATGCATGTGAGCATTTGAAACATATACCAATAACAACTACCAGGGCAAGTACAGGTTTATCTCAGGAGGGTTTTTGAAAAATGGAGAAAGGCCATTATTTGAGATGTGTGTTTCATGATTTTGGGGTCTACTATGGAGTTTGGCCTGTAAATGATTCACACATTCAATTTATTCATATAACACATCTTTACAAATCTCCTGTTTATAATCAAAACATCATGCTAAATTCTGAATTTCCTGAAATCTGTAACATTCTCATTTGCACGTAAAGGCCGTAAACACTCTAAAATGCTTAATCCAGCAGCATATATCTTAATCTGTTAACATTTGCAATCCTTTTTCAGGGCAAAATTCTAATTTGAACAATAGTATTTATTGCTTATGGATTGATATGGAGACCAAAATTACAAAAAACACCTAAATTCAACATTCTGAAGAAGCTTTCCACTATCTTTTCTAATTTTCCTCTTGTCCAAGAGTTGGATAAATATCATAATATTGTATCAGTGTACAAAGGTGGAAGGAGCTCCATCTTCTGCATTCTCAGGAAACCATACTTTCCAAGCAAGTATGAAAAATATAGCAATAAGAAAAAAACACTAGATAGTAAACTCCATTAAGGTATGAGCCCTTTCTCTTACTCACCATGGCATTACCAGTGCCAAACACAGTAGCCAGCAATGTACTTGGTACGGAAGTGTGTTAAATCAGTGAAGGAAACACTAGTTTGTAATTGTGTCTACCTTCTCTAACCAAGAGATACAAAAAGATTACATTCTATTAGGTATCAGGTATTTACATATCTGACTACGAAAGATCTGTCTTGTCAATTTTTGTATCCCCAGAGCCTAGAAAATGTTGAAAGACAAAAAACAAAAGAAAGAAAAAGAAAAAAAAAGCCCTCGTCAGGAACAGGTCAGAATAGGACCCAAATCCATTTTGTCACCAAAAAAACTTTCAGTCTTCTCCGTCCTCTCTGAAAATTGCACGTCCTTAAGAGAAGTCAATTCTAATTAGAAAAGTCACTTTTTCAGGAACAGGCACTTCCCACTCCATGCAAAGCGAGGCCAAGTTAACAAAACCGCAAAGACTTGGCTAATGCAAACACAAGCTAATTTATTATGATTGGCCCAAATTACCCACTTTTTTTTGCTGCCCAGGCCAATATCCACAACCGCACTGACGCCTCATGTAGGGCGAACGTTTTCACCAGTAGCTGGTGGGGAGCACAGTGTTTCTCAGCCAAAACCGAGGGAGACTGGAATTTGTGCAGTGTTGTCAGCCAAACACCTCGAGTAGATCCCAGCCTTTAACATCTGCATCTCCTAAGAAATTCCTTCCATTTTCCATATTACAAGCTGGGGAAACAAATCTCCTGAGCCCTTCAAGGACGAGCTCTTTGCCAAATACTACAACCACCGCCAACTCCCCATCCCCGACCGCAAGGCTGGGCCACACACGACCCAGCTCTAAAACGGCACAACCAAGCTGTCTGCCACCCGCCTAGCCTTTAAAGAAGCCGCGCGCGGTCGCGCTGCCCCAGAGTTCAACTTCCGGCCACATAGTGAGAGAATGTTTTCCTCCTGGCCACGCCCGCCACGCCCCGCCTTCCGAGCGCGAGCTCGGGCGGGCGGGCGCGCGGAAGGGGCGGGGCTGCGTGGGCCGCTGCTGCGCGGTTCGCCCTCACCCGGCGGCGCGCAGGCACGCCCAGAGCCGGTCCACAGCGCGGCGGCGCGCGCGCGCTCCCGGTGCCCTCCCCGGTGACGTGCCTGGCCGAGGCCGCGCAAGGGCGCTGTAGCAGCCAGTGCCGCTGTCATGGCGTCGGAGGCGCTGGCTGAGGAGAACCCGCCGCGGTCTCTTTAGAGCGAGGGGCGGGCGGCTGGGTATGGAGAGCGGCCCCGAGAGCCTGCAGCCGCTAGAAAACGGGGTGGCCGCCGGGCCAGCGCCAGGGACAGGTTCTCCGCAGGAAGGGCGACAGGAGACCGGGCTCGCCGCTGGGGATGGTCCTGGAGTATGGACGGCGGAGAGCGACGGCGGGAATGGGCAGGGGGCGGCGGCCGGCGGGAGGAGCCTCCCGAACTCGCTTTCTCCCGCCGGCTTGCCTCCGGTTCCCGGACTCCGTAGCCCCTTCTCGGGCTTGGACTTGAAGGAGAGCGATTCGGCGAGTCCTGCTGCCCAGAAGGCGCCTCTGGGAGGGCAGCACAAGGTGACCGCTTCCCCCGAGACAGCCGAGGCCGGAGCGGGCCATGGGTTGGGTCCGGCCGGAGACGCGGGTGCCCGCCCGGAACCCACCGGCACCTGCCGGGCAGAGTCGGCGGCCGTGGGCTCCGAGGAGCCCAGCAGCGCCGGCGGCCTCAGCAGCAGTTGCAGCGACCCGAGCCCTCCGGGGGAATCGCCGAGCATGGACTCCCTGGAGTCGTTCTCGAACCTGCATTCTTTCCCCAGTAGCTCCGAGTTCAATAGTGAGGAGGGAGCTGAGAACAGGGTCCCCGAGGAAGAGGAGGAGGAGGAGGGCGCGGCGGTGTTGCCCGGGGCCGTGCCTCTGTGCAGACAGGAGGAGGAGGAGGGGGAGTCAGCTCAGGTGCTGGCGGCCTCCAAGGACCGCTTCCCGGGACAATCTGTCTATCACATCAAGTGGATCCAGTGGAAGGAAGAGAACACACCCATCATCACCCAGAATGAGAATGGACCCTGCCCTTTGCTAGCCATCCTCAATGTTTTGCTTCTGGCCTGGAAGGTACATTCTGCAGCTTTCTATTTCCTAGACTTTTGGGGAGGGGAAAAACGAGGTGAGGGAGCTGCTGCATGTCAACTGATGGCTTCCTCCTTTCTTTCCTCATCATCAGTCCCCTTTTCTTGCGCGAAATTCATTCTGGGACTCCCTTGTTGAAAGAATATTCTATGTATATCAGAAAGCATTGCCGACAACCTCAGGTCTCTCTTGTAATGTTTAAATGAGCGTTCGACATTCAGTGGTGGTTGATAGACTTACAAACAATTAGCACTTAGAGCGTCCTAAACCCTAGGATTTTTTAAACTGTATTTTTCTATGTTATTTCCTTCTTACTGACTTTATCACATATTCAAAAGAGTGAAGAATTTGGGAAAATGACCCTCAGAAGTTACCATGAATCCATAATATCGGGGAGCAAGTTTTGATGGTTTTGTTTAGTCTATTTTCCAACTAGTGCTTGTTCCATTGGGTGTGGATACTTAAGGAAATGGTGATAGGGAAGATGTGGCCCCTTAGACAAATTCCATTTAAGGAAAAGCATTGGTCTGAAACCCAATTACCATATCTTCTTGGTTTTCAAAGATTGTATTTTCATTTTATGCATGATTTTTACTTGCCTCATTTCTTTGGATCTACTTAAATAGTTTGGCATTATTACTAACCACTCATCAGAATGTGTTAAGGGAGCTAAAACTGTAAAAACTAAAATAAGATATATCCAAAGTAAAGGAGCAAAAAAGAGAAGAGCCCTTCAAAAGTAAGTGTATTGAAGACTCGGAGTGAGTTACGTATAAATGAGGTGTCTTATTTAAGCTTGCAGTTGTAGGATGCTGAGAAGATGCATCTTATAGCACATATTTTATTTTCAAATTGATAATTGTGTCTATAGATACAATGTTCCCTAGAAAAAAATCTGGATTATTCTGACCAGTTAGGAATAAAATCAAGTAAAGGGAATAGTATTTATTACATGCCTTTGTCTTCCTGTTACTAGCAAGGGCTGATACAAAAGAAATAAGATTAGAAATCTTACCAATGTCTGGTACATAATGGCACTCAAATGTTTTGAGTGAAGACTGTGTCTGCTCTTGAAGAGCTGTCAAGCTATTTGGGGTTGCAGCGTTGACTTACTTGAAATTATTAAAGAACAATGCAAGACAATACACTGTAAATACTAGCTTATAGGAAACAGATTGAAATGCATTAGATATCCTAAAAGAGGAAATTTTCCTTTGGTCTGGCATGGTGCCAGAGAGCTTCATAGAATTTGTGGGTCTTGAACCAAGCTTTTAAGGAAAAGTAAAATTTAAAATAACAGGGAAATGGAATTCCTGGGAGAGGGAAGAGTATAAACAAAAGTGATGAGAGTAGAATGGATATTGTGTGTGTGTGTGTGTTTATTGGATGACAGAAGTGGTAAGTTCATGTTGGAGAATAATAGGAAATAAAATTGTGAAGGTGAACAAGAGCCACTTGATGAAGGCCCTGGAATGTCAGACTAGGGAGTTAGACTTGTAGGAAGGAATAATAATTTCTTTTAGGCTTTTCTCTCTTCTTAGTTTCTATATAGTACTCCAGAAGTTCAGAGGAAGGAGCAAATACTGTGGTCTGGAATATTTGGGCATAGACGGGCTTTGAGCTGACTCTTTGAAAGACATGGCTTCAAGTGAAGGATTAAACGTTTGGGTTCCTTGTATGTGTAAAGTACTAGAAATACAAAGACGAGTAAGATACACGTCTGCTCTCATTTAGCTCACTGTTAGTGGAGAGACAGACATATAAACAATAATTACAGTACAATGTGTAAAGTTCTAAATGTGCTATGGAATTACAGAGAAAGGGTAATTGAGAATGGGATGTGTCAGGGGAACCTATGAACTGGGTCTGAAGGATGAGCGAGAGAAGGTCTTCCAGGCAGAGGGCATAGTGTACGTATTCAAAGATGCTGAAGCAGGAAAAGGGTTGTTCTATCTGGGGACTCCAGCCTTGGTTGGAGTGTGGTGGAGGAGGGGAAGGATATGGCAATACCAGGAAATAAAATTGATAGGTTGGGTTAGACTGTGAATGAGCAGGCATGCTAATGAATTTGGAGATTATCTTATAAATCTGTGGTTCTTAGCCTTCTTTCTGCCTCCAGGCTATTTCTGCACACAAAAATTACTCATCAGTAATCATCAATGATTGATAGGGAGACAGATTAAAAGAAGTAAGGTTGGATAGAGCAGTGTTCTCAGAGTAAGCCAAAGCTTTTAGAGGTCAAAACTGTTTTCATAATAATACTAAGATGTTATTTGTCTTTTTCACTCTCATTCTCTCACAAGTGTCAGTGGAGTTTTCCAGGCTGCATGATGTGTGATGACATCATTGCTCTGACAGTTAGTGAAATGTGTGCTTTTGTATTCTTGTGATTGAAATTTTTCTCAGTTTTCATTTCCAGTCTAGTAACTATTGATAGATATAACCCACATGGACAAAAGCTCTTTGGGGTCCTCAATAATTTTTAGGACTGTAGAGGGTCCTGAGAGCAAAAAGTTTGAGAAATGCTGTAGTAGAGAAAAATAGTAAATAGGATATGAAGGTAGTTGTCAGATATCAGAGGACTCGTCACTAGGGTGTTTAGACTTTATATATAGCTGATGATAGGGAGCTATTATAAATTACTGGACAGAGGAACGACATGATGAAAGTGATCTTTTGGGGCCTGCCCCGGTGGCCTAGTGGTTAAGTTCTGCCTGCACTGCTTTGGCAGCCTAAGTTCGATTCCCAAGCAAGGACCTACACCACTCATCTATCAGTGGCCATGCTCTGACGGCGGCTCACATACCAAATAGAGGAAGATTGGCAACAAGTGTTAGCTCAGGGCGAATCTTCCTCAGAAAAAAAAAAAAGTGGTCTTTTTGTTTGAGATTAGACTAGAGGTAAGATTGTAGTGAGTGTAGCAGGAAGAATTGATGAGAATAGCTCTTTTGGATGGGGAATTCTTTGCCCCTTTGATGAAGATAATGTCACAGCCTAAATGATGAATTGATCACTAACAGGACATAGGAAATGAAGGAGATGACACCACTTTTTGTAATCTGGGTAATACAGATTGCTTGGGTCATTCAAAAGCTAGAGAAGGTGTTTTAGGTGGGAAAGTTGATGTCAAAGTTTGGTTGTGTCAGGTTGGAAATGTCTGATAGTGGGACATAAAAATATAAATGTTCATTATGACTTTAGAAGCAGGGCTGGGTCTCAGGAAAGAGGTCAAAATTATAGAGAAAATTGAATTGGGCAATTATTGCATAGATATAAGTATGGTAGCTAAAATGAATCTCCATGGAGAGTGGTGAGCAATAATTCTCAACTTTTTTCCATCCCAATATATGTGAGAAACTACAAATTGCCAGCATAAACATCCTCCCTGTATTTCCCCACTCCCTCTTCCACCCCATTCTCCAGTAGACATAGAGAAAACAGAGGAATAAAGATTAAACTTGGTGGCGGGAGGGGAATGCTAAGCATTAAGGGTGACAGAGTGTAAAAGAAACCATTATAGGCACAATTTGAGATGTGAATGAGAACTAGAAATAGGACAATGTCATGATAGTAGTCTGGGAGAGAGACTATAATAAAAAAGTGGTCAGTTACCACTGTCAAATGCAACAGCATCAATGGAGTAGGAAGATGGAGTAGGAAAGATTTTGCCCAAAATGACAGATGTGAGGACAAGATCACTGAAAAGTCGGGATAATATAGGCTCCTCAGACTAGGTGTTAAAATTCTCTACAGAGGAAAGGAACAACAATCTCATTTTCTGAAGTAATGGAAGGAATGGGACAAGGAAGATGCAGAGACAAAGTCATGTTAAGATAGAAAAGCAGATGGAAATTGAGGCCTCATCGTCCTTTTTGGCAGAATAACTGTTGACCTCATTGGTAATAACTATTGAACTTGTCAGTAATTAAGAAGGAGAGAGGTTGTAAAGCATTGAGAGGTGGGTTTTGTGAGAAAAGTACATTGTATTTTAAAGAAGTTCTAATTTCACTGGAGATTATGCCTAGGAATTTGAGCTATAAGTAGAAAGTAATAAGTGGCAATGGGTAAGTTGGGGTATTCTTTAAAAACTTTTAGTATATCAATTTTACTTTGTTTTTGGTTTTTCCCTAGTATTTCTCTTATATCTGGAAATAGGAGCAGGAAGAATGGCTGGTTAGGGTAATCAGGGATTGGGCTTTCAAGGGTTAATTCATGGAGCGTCAAAGGAATTAGAGTTGAAAGTGAAACAGTTGATCATCTCTTTTGGGGGAGGATGAAGTAATGAGAAAAATCAATAAATTGAACATATCGGGAGGATTTGAGTGATTCAAAGGAAGTAAGTGCCATGGTTCTGGATGGGAGATGACAGTTAAAATTATCAAACAGGCTAAGTACCAAGTTGGAAATGTTGGAGTTTTCATGGAGAGTAGGTGATCATTCATAATCTCTAAAATAGTTGAGCTGTGATAATCCAACAAACCAAGAAAGAAGGAAATCTATTCATTCAGTTTAATTCAAGCTGAAATTTCTAATTCTGTTTAACTGACACCAGGTAAATTTACCTACATTTATGTCTTGGAATACATTTTCTTTTTTTTTTTTTTTTAATTTTTATTTATTGCAGTAACATTGGTTTATAACATCGTATAAATTTCAGGTGTACATCATTATACTCGTATTTCTGCATAGATTACATCATGTTCACCACCCAAATACCAATCACAACCCATCGCGACACACATGTGCCAAATTATCCCTTTCGCCCTCCCCCCTCCCCCCTTCCCCTCTGGTAACCACCAATCCAATCTCTGTCTCTATGTGTTTGTTTATTGTTATTATCAACTACTAAATAAAGAAAAAAATAAGACAGTAGACCTTCTCCCTCTGACTTATTTCGCTTTGCATAATACCCGAAATGTCCATCCATGTTGTCACAAATGGCTGGATTTCATCGTTTCTTATGGCTGAGTAGTATTCCACTGTGT